AGCAGTGTCACCAGGCCCTGAGTTTCCTGGGAGCTGGTTCAGTCACTGTAGGGGAAGAGATCCAGTGCACCAGCTGCTCCCGCAATTTTAGAGGAGAGAGCAGCTCCTCTCATCTTCATTTTGTATACAAAATATTGTCTGTCTTTTGAGGAGGGTTCCACTTTAAGGGAAACTAAAACCCATTGGAATATGCATGAGACTCATTAATTTATTCAATCAGTCACTCAACAAATATTATTAAATGCCTATTGCATACCAGGCCCTGTACACGAGGTTGTACTGAAAGACCATTGAAGGTTTTTGAACTGGTCAGTTGCCTGGTAGCAGGCATGCTGGGTCTTGAGTTAAAATCCTGTCTTTGCTACCCACTAATCATAAGACCTTGGGCAAGTCTCTTGGCCTCAGTGGACCCATTTTCTCATCTGTAAAGCACAGGGCTGGGCTGCTAAATCTTTCCCAGCTGAGACAGTCTAGGAGCAACATGAGAAGTGTTGTAACCAGAGTTTGTGTGTGTTGGGAGCAGGGGAAAAGAGAGGTCACAGTCATCGAGAGGTGATAATGGCAAGAGCTTCTTCAAGTCTGAGTGAAGCCTTTCATTTATTCATTCAACAAACATTCCATACTCAGTGCCAGCCACTGTGCTAAGCATTGGGAAAATTACAGTAACCAAAACAAAATGTGTGCCCTTAAGGCACTGTCTGTATAGGTGGTTAGCAGAGGAACTGGGAACATGGGGGACAGATCTAGAGATGTAGTGTGAAACTTACCCCATGGGATGATAGTTGGGACAGTGGAAGTGTATGTACCAGGAAAGAGATAGCAAAACGGTATTGAGAGAGAATGAGTTCTGAGTCTCGAGATAGAACCTGGGAACATCCTGTGGAGAACCAATCAGTGTTCCACTCCTTGATAGAAAGCGCATTCTTAAGTCAATACAACAAACCTAACTCCAGAAATATGCTCTTATGGCTAAGAAGTTAGGACACACCAAAGAGATAGGTCTATTCAGACATCCATTTCTCCTTGACTAGATCACTTCTAGGTGTGAAGCAGGATTAGACCACAGCCACATATGATATTGTGTAATAGCTGGTCTCTTTGGTTTCTTCAGAAAGATTTTCAATAAGTACCAATGATATGTATAAAATTGTACAGGTGGCTGCCTAAGTGAGCTGCCAGCCCCTCAAATCTTTTCCCAGACCAGCTGGCTCTTTTCTTTTTTCCCTTTTCCCCAAGTAATTGGAGCAGATCCAGAAACAGATCCAGAGAGCCTCAAGCTTTTCCTTTCTTACCCTTCAGTAATTACATGTCACAGGTTGCCTTCCCTGTTAGAATCTAAAGCTGAGCAATTAGTCTCCCATTGTCTTTGCAGGAAATGACATATCAGTGTGGCTTCTGGGGAAGGCAACTGTTGACCATCCTGGTTAGAATAATTTGGAAAATGTTCAGCATTTCCTCCGGTTGATCATTTAGACTGGCTGATTTAGAAAGCTTTTGGAAATGTGCAAATGTACCATGGTTATCAGGACTGGAAGTACTATTGGGCCAGTTCCCTGAGAAAAATGAGTCTCTGAACTGTGGCTTTTGATCTCTGGATGTACTGCCTTGTCCCACGTGTGACTGAGCCCAGTGCCTTGGCATTCTGTTCTTTTTATAATGCTTTGTTGGAGACTGATTAGTCAGGATGTTTTGCAGCTGCACGTAATTGAAAACCCAAGTCAAGAAGTCCTGAACAATAAGACATATATTGGAAATCCAGAGATGCCACAGACTTCAAAGCCAACCTAATGCAATAACCCACACTCTTGCTTCCCTGTTTGTTCTGTCTGTAGGCTAACTTTATCCTTATACTGGAGCAACAGAGCTGTGGAAGTTCTAAGCATCACATTCCACACTACTTTCAGAAGGAGGAAGCGCCTCCCGAAAGAGTAGAAGCTTCCAGAAAAACTTTCTTCACGTCTCATTGGCTTAAATTGGACCCCATGCTTACATTTAAACCAATCACTGGCAATAGGAATGGGTATCTCTTGGATCAGTGCTGGGCCACATGCTTATACTTAAACCAATCATTGGCAGTAGGAATGGGTATCTCTTGGATCAGTGCTTCTCAGATTTCGGCATGCACGAAGATCACCTGGGGAATCTTGCGAAATCAATTCTGATTCAACTGGCTTGGGTGAGGCCTCAGCTGACAGCTCTAACAAGCTCCCAGGTGATGTGAATGTTGCAGGTTAGCACGCTGCAAAACCTTGACTGTTCCACCCCTACTCCCAGCTGAAGGTGCTGCCATGTGCTGATGGACACTGGGTAAAGAAATACGGGGGCTCTGTTGGGAAGAAGAAAGAGGGAATGACCACATGCAGATGAGAACTGTGTTAGAGATGCTTGTTTTCAGTGTGTAATTTGCATTTTAACTTTAAACTGGGAGCCATACAGTACTCTGTAGTATATATTAAAAGTAGAATTGTTATGTGGGAGCACCCATAAAAATTTCATTCGTTTATGGTGATACAGGCATTGCAGTTCTGGAAACAAAAGATAAAACAGTCATGCCACCTGTTTTGTTATCATTCAGCTATTTTTTATTAGTAATGAAGACTATATATCTCAAAAAGAACAAATTCAAAAAGGTGTGTCTCAAAGAGAACGAATTCAAATGAAATGGATGGAAATAGCCTTAAGTATAAAAAGAGTGTGCCAAGTCCAGCCTTTGTTCTGCGAGTGGAAATCTCATCAGTCATGGTTATTGGACTGAGAAAACCCCCCCTATTTGTCCTAAGAGTCACTTGTCATGATATTGGGAGTGACCCAAATAGAGAATACCCCCCTATTTGTCCTAAGAGTCACTTGTCATGATATTGGGAGTGAAAAATGCTGCCAATGTTGAATTTCTGCCAAAGCAAACGATCACAATGCCCTTATAAGTGGTTTTCAGTGGAGAAAGTCATCATGCTTTATTCATTTGAAAAGGAAGAACTGTTCTGTTACTTTGTTGTGCTTGACAAAAGATAACACAGGATTCCTGAGCTGCAGCTGTTTAGGAAAAAGGCTCATAAGATGGAAGGACCAGTGTCTACCCTGAGGCTGTGCAATCACAGGCTCAGCGGGCTCAGGATGAAGTATGTGGCTAGATGCTGAGTAGACCTTCCTGAGATAGTCATTGTGGTAGTTGCTTTCCTGGACCTCACGTGCAAAGACAGCATCACCCAGGAGGGGACGTAGAATTTCACTGCTCAGTCTATTTGATCCACCTGCCTCAGAACCACGGGCTCACATCTATGGACTATGAGAAGCTGGAGCTTGATTGTGGTCTCGTAGATGCCAGAGCAACTGTACCTGGCCTCACCAGCGTGAGTCACCAAAGTGCCCATTGTGTGGGCTCAGGAAATCACCAGTTGTGTCTTGTCTATTCAAAGGACCTGAAAGGTTGAGAGATTACCTGCTACTCTGTGCTAGCTGGGGAAAGCTGCTAGATTTGAAGCTCCAGGAAGGCAGACTTGTGCTTGTGTCACACAGGTGCCCTGTATATTGACAGAATGATTGAACAGCTAGTCTGTTCCCAGGAGATCTGTCAGTCAACAGCATGGACTAATTGCTCACTCTCAAAAGAGAAGTGTTAAACCAGACAATATTGTGTTGCCTAACTTCAGTAATTTGTAGTCTAAATATAGATTGCTTAGGTGTCCCATCTAGGACCTCATAGGCTGCCAAGGAGCAATGAGATAATATTAACGATTACCTGAGCTTGTGTAGGACAAGCAGATTGCACCATTACCCATGGATGGACTCTTAACAGCCTTGATGAGTGCCTCCCTGCTTTGCCTGCGGTAAGGCAAGGTGTTATTAGCCGTGGAAGGAATTTTAAATTGGGGAAAAAGATAGGACCTTTCCTGACAACTTAAAAGCCTGACTTTAAAAGTAGTATATTTATTTAAAATACCTATATCAAATAAAATATTTTTTTAAAAAAATAAAAAGACATAATACTGAGTTGGGAAAATAAAGATAGAAAAGGCAATGAGAAGCCAGGTGCAGTGGCTCACACCTGTAATCCCAGCACTTTGGGAAGCTGGGTGTGAGCATGAGTGCCAGGCTAACATGACTCGATGGTAAATTTGCAGGTAGTAGGAGGTGGTGGAAGATTCATCTGCTGAGGAAGGCCTGGCTGTATAGGTTGTATTTGGAAAGGATGCCTTGTGCAGCCTTGAGAGTTGGATGGGAAGGGACGAAACTGGAGGCCAGGAGACCAGTGTATGCTAGGCATGGTGCTGACCAGATAGAATGTAACAAGAATAGGGGGAAGCAATGTGTTCCCAGCACCACTGTGGGACTCCTACGGGGCGGGGCTGAGCCGAGGTTTGCAGTGGAGGTGAGGAAGGCTGTGTCAGTTTAAAGACCTGAGGAACTGGGAGAATGATGATCACAGCTCAGGTTTACTGCATGCCAGAGGCTGTTATAAGCCCTTCCATGTCATGTATATATGTTATTTCGTTGATATCATATAATCCTCGTAGCAACCCTATGAGGTCAGTACAGTCATCTCTGTTTTACACATAATAAAATAAAGCCTAGAAAAGAAAGGTTAGGAAAACTGCCCAGGGTCTCACAGCTAGCAGGCAAGAAGGGAGGATATTACTGGAAAAAAAGGAAAGCAGAATTGGTTTGGGGGATCTGCTAGGAGTTTAACTGTAGACATTTTTCCATTGTTCTCTTGTCTCCAAGTGTTTCAAAGGGCTAAACATTCAAATATTTATAAGCATAATTTCTGGTATATTTCATTGTCCGGTTTTTAAATTTTTTATTAGTGAGTGCTGAGATAATTTGTAAATTGGCTTCATCTTTGTGGGAAAAACAGAGGAAGCCGTAGGTGAAATTCAGTGCATTGATGTGCAACCAAAACAGAGGAAGAGGCTGCAGTTTACAGGAGAGAAACATAATATGTGTTCAATTATTCCTGTTTAATGACGTGGTTTTTCTTTTGTTGTGGTATTGTTTTTCAGGACCAGTCCTGCCGCTGTTTTAGAAGACATGTGGTGTATATAAAGTTTGTGATCGTTGGCGGAAATTTTGGTAAGTGTTGCTACATTGACTTCAAATGTCTCTTGTTGTAAAATGGTGCTAGGGAAGGGAAGCTATTGCCTGGTTCTGTGCGTCTTTTACTTCTGCACTGAACTCAGGCAGAATGGAATTTTATAATTAAATGTGACATTGAATTGATGTTTTCTGACAGTATGGCATTTTCTCTTGTTATTGCTGATCGTATTAAGCAATATGGAATTTTCTAAAACATAGTAAGTCTAGATTTAGGAAAGTTTCTGGATGCAGGTTAAAGAACACCCTTCACAGTTTATGTGCTAAGCCAGCCATGTAACATAAGAGTAATAAACTTTCAGACCAAAAGAATAAAGTCTCCAAAGCAAAGAGATCCTTGTGACCCATATATTAAAAGAAAGAAAAGCAGGCAGCCTAGGAAATGGGAAATTAAAGGAAGCTATGAGTCCAGCTTGCCTGATAGCCACCCCACAGACCAGCATAACAGTAGTCTTGGGAGACCAAGAACATTCAATTCAGCAATCACCCAGACCTTGCTGGCAGGTAAAGAGGACAGTCTTTGGGATCAGGAGACCTGGGTTAAAATGTAAGTTCTGTACCTTCTGGCAGATAACCCCTCTGAGCCTGTTTCTTCTTCTGTAAAATGAGGCTTAGCATGTTACCTACCTCATAGGGTTGTTGTGAGAATAAAATGAAGTAGATAGTGCTGGAGCATAGTAAGCGCTCAATAAAGCCAGTCATTCTTGGGAACAGAGCAGCCTTATTTGAAAACTGGGCATTTCCCACTGAAGTCAAGCTACTAAGAGGCGTATTTGTCTTCCAGCAGGAGGGCTGCTGGGGATGGGCTGGTTATATGCATTTGATGTTACTAGAGCATCCCAGCACTCACCACAGCCCCTCCTCCAACATTCACTTCATAAGAACCTGTGGGAACCCCTGCAATATTTATCATCTTTTCCAGCCCTGGTGACCCATTCTTAGAAAAGCTTGGCTAATTCCCTTCCTGCCACCTTCACAACTAGTGAGGTCACCTTGTTTGAGCTCTGTTCATTTTGGAGTTAATGTCATTTCGAATCACATTTGTGAGAAAAGAAGGGTGGGGGTAGATGATACCTTTGGTTGGACCTCAATTGCCATGTTTACACTTTCATTTCCAAACCTTTCTTTTGATTTTACATTTTTGTCAATGCTTACTACGTAGCCTTCACAGGGATCCAATTACTGGGCTGAAATTTTTGAGCTTTGACTAAAAGAATTTCGCCTTTGGGTGGGGCCTTTACCTATGGTAGGGGAGACGAAGCCGTGGCATTGCAGATGGACCAGTATTTATGGTCAGATGTCTATAGATGACCTTGCTCCCTTTTCATGGAATCAAAAAGAAGGACATGGCGTCAAGGGTTATCTGGCCCAATCCCCTGCTACCAAAAAAATGTCTTCTACCAAATCCCTGACAAGGGAATTCAAATTCTTCCAGAGATGAGGAGCTTGCTATTGTGCAAGATACCTTGATTCAATTAAAAGGACAATTAGGGCCTACAGGGAAACCCTTGGGAAGTAGGGGGATACAATTGTTCTGTATCTTAATTGTGGTGGTAGTTGTATGCTTTGGTGAAAACTCACAAAACTGTACACTAGAAAGGGTGAGTTCTCCTGAATGTTAATTAAACCTGAATTTTTCAAATGCAAAAAAACAAGCATTTAAAAATTGAACAATTAGCCCAATTTGTTAAGAAGAAAGTGAGGAATGCAAAGGAGAGAGGGAGGAGGGAGGAAAGAAAAGCAATCCAGTTCTTATATTGAACTATTAATACAGTATATGTGCTCCATAGGACAAGGACTTGGTCTTGTTCCATCCTAGAGTCTTGGTGCCTGGATAGTGCCTGGTACATAGAAGGCATAAATGTGGTATTTATTGAATCACCTACTGCTCTTAGTCACCTTCCAAGTAAGTCCACTCACTTTCTAACGCTCCGGCCCACCAAATATTTGAAGACACTGTCCTTCCTCATTCATCTTTTCTTCTCTGGGTGAACTTACCATCTCCCGTGCCTGGCCTCTTTGTCCTCTGATGCTGTGTTCACACCTCTCCCCATCTGGCAGAGCTCCATGAGGAGGCCTCTGCTTCCCCACACCTCTCCTGTGCACCTCAGCCAGCACTAGCCAATCTGCCCCACAGGTCTGGCCCAGGAGGAGCACAGAAGGTGCATTGCTTCTGTGGATGCTGTTAACAGACACCCAGTCCTCCTCCTTCACAATCAGTATGGAGTGTCTGGAAATGGACCATAAAATATTTCTTTAGTGCAGTCTTCTAAGAAAGGAGCTCCTAAAAGTAAGGAGAATGGCAGCGCAAGAAAGAGCCCAGGCGCAGCACATCCTTTTACAGGCCTTGTCTGAAATGAAGGCAGGTCCTGGCACCCTCAGTCTGAGACAGCATGGTGCTGTTGATAAATCTTTAGAGGCAGTACTATATCACAGATTCCGACTCTTCATTACAAGTCATAGGAAGTTTGAAATTCTTAAAACAGTCCAGGCGTGGTGGCTTACGCCTGTAACCCAGCACTTTGGAAGGCGGAGGCAGGCGGATCCCCTGAGGTCAGGAGTTTGAGACCAGCCTGACCAACATGAAGAAACCCCATCTCTACTAAAAATACAAAATTAGCTGGATGTGGTGGCACATGAGATTGCAGATCTCAGCTACTCCGGAGGCTGAGGCAGAAGAATTGCTTGAACCCAGGAGGCAGAGGTTGCAGGTTGCTGTGGGCCAAGATCACACCATTGTACTCCAGCCTGGGCAACAAGGGCAAAACTCCATCTCAAAAACAAAAACAAAAAAAAACAAAAACAAACTAAAACCGGTGAGTACCTTGAAAAGCCTAGGTTTCTTTTTTCTGGCTATGCCAAGGAGAGATATATAAACACATAAATACATATAGAGAAAGCAGTGGTTCCCAATTGGGTCAGCTTTGCCCTCCCAGAGGACGTTTGGTAATATCTGAAGCCATTTTTGGTTGTCACAACTAGGGGAGGGAGGAGGGTGTGTGCTAGTGGCATCTAGTGGGTGGAAGCCAGGGATGCTGATAAATGTCTTAAAATACATATCATAGATCAGCAACACACACTCGGGCACACATGCAGGACAAGCAGGCCCGAAATCTCAGCAATGCCAAGCTGACAAAACTCTGAGATTGTAAGTCGTTTTTAAAGTGTAACTGTTTAAAGTACTTATTATCTTGAAGGTTTAAAAATTGAAATATCTTAACATTTGATTATATGTAAATATACCACTAAAAAAACACAAAGACATTCATTCAGAAAATCATCTGAGTGGAAGGGCTGCTAAGAGGTTATCTCTTCTATTACCCCTGACTCCAAGCAAAAAATGACCTATATCAATTCAGACAGACAGATGGGCCTCTGACGACTTATACGGAATGACAGTCAACTAAAGATAAAAGCAAGACTCGCACAACATGATCCCAGCATTTACACAAAAGAGATTGTCTTGTATTTTGAATTTCAACCCCAGCTTCTTCAGATGTGTTAGTCGTTCGATGACCTCTAAGATTAAACGGTATTTCAATCTGGGCTAGTCCTTCCTTTTGAATCAAGGCGGTTCTGGTGTGATGAAAATGTGCTTAGGGAGGAGAGAGATCTCATTACAGATGATTGAGATTGAGTATTTTGGTACACAGGGCTGTTTATTTGCATCAGTTTGCTAGTGACACCACAATCTGGTTTAAATGTGAGTCGCTGAGAGCTTTTTTAGCCCAATATGGCTACATTTGCTGAAACAGGGAGATTAAAGCAACACGTCAATTTATGATATGAGACAACTCACTGCAAAAGACTTTACCTAATTATAGGGCCTATTTTGGGAGGGTAATGGTGCTTTTTGTGAAGTATATTTTAGGATGCACTCACTCGGCTTCTGGGCCAGTAATATATTCCCAGCAAGGGTGTGGTGTGTGCTTGTGGACATAAATATTTTCTTACCAAAAGCTGTGGTATGATATTCTTTCAACTTTACTACCCATCATTTTTCTTTTTCTGATAGTCTTTCCTTTTGCAAGAGTGCTATGAAAATGTATTCTGGAAAGCCAGAAAAGGTGAAGATAAAAGATCTCATTTCAGATGGCCAAGTCCAGAGATACAGAGACGTTATCAGTCTACTGTTTTTAAGATGAATGGGATTTGGAGGCATTCAGGAACACTGACTAATAAGCAGAGTTGAGAGAAGTGATAGAAACACTGTGTTGGCACTAGATCTTTTTATGGAAGTATCTGTGGGAAAACTATCTATTTGCAACCCTGTGTGTCCCAACCAGCACTGCCCCTGCTCCACTCCAACCCCCAGGTGATCCTCAGGGGCCACTCCAACCACCTAGGTGATTCTCAGGGGCCATTTCCATGCCTTTGCTGATGGCTTATGACCTAGGGTAGGTACCTGTCTGATTTTACTTTTGTTCTTTAAGACCGCTGGCTGGGTGCGGCGGCTCACACCTGTAATCCCCGCACTTTGGGAGGCCAAAGCAGGTGGATCATGATGTCAGGAGATGAAGACCATTCTGGCCAACATGGTGAAACCCTTTCTCTACTAAAATACAACAAATTAGACGGATGTGGTGGTATGCGCCTGTAGTCCCAGCTACTTGGTAGGCTGAGTCAGGGGAATCGCTCAAACCCAGGCAGTGGAGGTTGCAGTGAGCCGAGATCACACCACTGCACTCTAGCTTGGTGACAGAGCAAGATTCCATCTCAAAAGAAGAAAAAGACTGTGTCTTTCACCTGCTCTTCCTCCTCAATCCCAGCCTTTTGGTGCCTCCTTCACTTCTCTGTTAATATCTAGGACTTTTGGCCTTCGAGGAGAGGTCAGAACTTTCTGTCAGTCAGCAAAATAAAATTAGCTTCTTATTTACACAATGTGTGTACAAGGGAGGAGGACCCGAGATAAAGAGTGAAAACGGACAATTTTGTAACCCAAAACCCAACCAGACCTAGGGGCTGGAGAAATGCTTTCA